TTTCTATACTTACTACATTATGACTTTGGATAAACCTCTTTATGCCAAAGTACCCTTATCTCTAAAATAGAGATAATGAGTGCCCTCCCTAGTGGTGAAACAGGTTAAGGCACAGTTCAACCAAGGAGCTGACCCACATGGTGCAGCAGACCTCTCCTATCTCACCTTTTCTCCCCTCAGCAATGTATTTCAATCAGTCTGCCTGTTCTGTTCCCCACTCTATCTCTGATGAATCCTCTCACCCTCTGCACCTCTGGGCTACATCCCAGCTCTTGTATGCATAAATAAATAAATCTTAAAAAAAAAAAAGGACTCTTTTTGCAAGTTTGCCTTATTTACATTTATTGTGATAATAGATATTTTTAGTTTCTTGGTTTCAGAAAACAATGCTAGCTTGTTTAAAAAGAAAATATTTTAAGAAGAACTGTTGTTAACCCACAAAATAATTGAAAGAGCTAAAGAATTATAAGACATACTCTCTAGGCTTTGCTTCTAGGAATGACATCTGTAACCAAATGGCAGAACTGAATGGAGTAGGGAGCTGAATGCTATGATTTCTGCCTGCAAAATTGATGACTTCTTTTCACTTTTTTTTCTAACTTAAAAAAAAGTGTGAAATATAGCATAGCATACATATGGAAAGTGATATGGAACATAAATACACCCTTTAACGAAAAATTACAAAATGAACACCATCTGGTTAAGAGAGCATTGCATCTCATATTTCCATCTTAATCACTATCTTTTTTTTCTTAATATCAGTTTATTTTTACATCACTTTGTGCCTTTTTTTTTTTAACTTCTAACCTTTCATTACCTCTTCAAGGAGGAAAGGCTATATAGTTGTCAGAGACAAAAGAAACAAAGGAAAGGGACTAGTAACACAGCAAAGTGTGATAAGCAGAACACTCAGAGTGCTTTTGAACAGGAAAAAAAATCCCTCAACTTATTAAAATTCTGTATGAATTAAAAGTCTTTCCCATTGCTTTATTCTGCTCCCTTTCATTCAAATCTGAAAGACTATAATATTATAAGCAGTCCTAAAAATTTTGCTTTAAGTCTTCCTAGTGTTCTTTCTTTTTTTTTTAAAGATTTATTTATTTGTGCGTACAGAGCTGGGGTACAGGCCAGAGGCTCAGGGGCGGCGAGAGGCTTCACCAGAGACAGAGTGGGGAGCAGAACAGGCAGATCTACGAAGTACACTGCTGAGGGGAGCAGCGGGTGGGTCAGGAGAGGTCTGCCACGCCATGTGGTCATCTCCCAAGCAGGCAGGAATCAAACTCATGCGGAAGTGGCTTTAGCTTCTCAGTGCTGTGCTTTGACCCGCTGCACCACCAGGGAGGGCCCCTAGTGTTCTTCTTTTTAAATAAAATAATAGTTTATTTTTACATCATTTTGTGCCTTTTTCCGTCTCAGTTGTAATCCCTGTGGACTTCCCATCACCAAATCACCTGTGTGCCATCACCATAGTCCAGTGCACCCCATTTTTGATCTCATTCCCCACCTATAAAATGTCTCTGATATATAGTTGTTCATTGTTATTTTCTCTCCTGGTCCTTTATGCTCCTGCTATGAGTGAAACCATCCAGTATTTTTCCCTTTTCAGGTTTATTTCACTAAGCATGATCCCTTCCAGCTCCATACATGTTGCTGTAAAAGGCATGTGCTTATTTTTACTTTTTTTTTTGGTTGCTGAGTAATATTCCATTCTGTATAAGTACCACATCTTTTTAATCCAGTCATCTATTTTTGGGCATTTGGTTGATTCATGTCTTTCCGTCAGTCACTATCTTTTGTGATAAAATTCTGTAGCAATTGACTTTTTCTTAAGGATTGTATCACTTAGGTGCAAACTTAATAGCTTATTTTTGGAAAAAAAAAAACCATGCTTCATGTATCTTAGGTTTCTTGTGAGGTTCTTACCCATTAAATGTCGTATAGTTTGTTGTCATGTTGCAGGATACTGGGGTTGTTGCTTGTTTGTAGCCCATGTGAGGAGTACATCTATAAGCTTTCACGAGGGACAATAGAGTCAGAGTATATGTTTTTACCTTTAGTAGAAAATGACCAGATGATGATGACTAGTTTTTTCCAAAGTGGTTGTACTGGTTTATAGGCATGTTGCTACAGGTTCTTAACAATACTCAATATTGTCAGACTCTAATTTATGCAATTTGATAACTATGTAGTGGTTTTTAATTTGCATTCCCGTGAGGACTAAAGGAGTTACATATCTTTGCTTTTTTTTTTTTGACTGGAAAGGCATGTTCAAGCTTTTGGTCCATTTTTCTATTGGGTGATCTAACTGATTTGATTTGTGTGATGATTTTATATATCTTGGATACCATTATTTTGGCATATATATATATATATATATATATATATATGTTGCCAAACTAATTTTGTGAGTTGTCTTTTTTACTCTTGTAAGGTATCTTCTGATGAACAAGAAATTCTTAGTCTAGATGTTAGTAAAACTTTGCAGTCAGATTGTTTATGTGAGTTGCCCATTGTTTTTGTCTGTAGGAAATCTTTCCATATCCTGAGATCATGACTGTACTGTTACATATTTTCTAAGCCTTTTAGTTTATTATTATTATTTTTATTTTTAATATAACAGTTTATTTTTACATCATTTTGTACATTTTTTTTTTTTAGTTTTATTTTTAATGCCAAGTCTCTAAGAGGCCTAGAATTAATTTTTATGTTTGGTACCAAGGACCCAAAATCTTTTTTTCCCCCCTCATTCACTCATTCATTCAAGATTGATTTATTTATGCATTCAAGAGCTAGGGTACAGGCCAGAGGTGTGAGGGTTGAGATGATTCACCAGAGACCGAGTGAAGAGCAGAACATGCAGATGGAATGAAATACACTGCTGAGGGGAGCAGCGGCTAAGACAGGAGAAGTCTACTGCTCCATGTGGGTCAGCTCCGTGGCCTGAGATCAAACTAATGCTCCAGGGGCTATGGATAGCTTCTTAGTACTGCAGCTTACCCACTGCGCCACCAGGGAGGCCCCAATTTTGTCTTATTCCATTTAGATGAAATTTCTCTTGTCTACTTATGTGTCAAGTGTCTAAATACGCATGGGCTTTTTCTGTGTTCATTTTTCTGTTCTATTAATTCATTAGCTTATAACTTTTCCATAAAGTATTGTTAAGAGATTTGTTAGCACTGTTTGCAGACATAATAATTTTTACAGCTATTGCAATTTTTGGTTGATGGTTTACATAAATAATACTAATTTTTTTATTAAAGATTTGTTTATTTATGCATACAGAACTGGGGTACAGGCCAGAGGTGTAGGGGCAGTGAGAGGATTCACCAGAGAAAGAGTTGGGCGTAGAACAGGCTGACTGACAAAGTACACTGCTGAGGGGAGCAGCGGGCGGGTCAGGAGAGGTCTGCTGGGCCATGTGGGTTACCTCTGGGTGCAGGGGTTGAACTCATGCTGAAGTGGCTTTAGCTTCTTAGTGTTGTGCTTTAACCCACTGCGCCACCAGGGAGAGCCCAAATAATACTCATTTTATGTAACAATATTTGTTTCTAGTAACCTGTGGAATTTCATCAATGCCAACAATCAATCTCAATAATCTACTCAGATTTTTTAATCCATCTATAAATTTTTTGGGGTGAACCATTTTCTCTTTGCATACATACTCCTTTGGTACTTTCCAGATTTGCTCTTATTAAACACTGATCAGAACAAATCAAACATTTGTTGAACACTCACTATGAGTCTGGCATGGTTGTGGGTGATACTACATGTTGTGTGTGTGAATAAATTTAAACTTTATTAATATTGGTAGCTGTTCTGGTTTCTTTGAGCAAGTGTGAAGGTCATTATTTTATATACTGCAAGCAGCCCTCTGCTGTGAGTGACAGGATGTTCTGTAGGTGGGTTGAGAAGGGAAGGTGAGATTTCGATGATTTGATGTCTTTTCAACACAGATAGCATTGAAAAAAGAGAATTAGTTATTTGACTATATTAGAGAAATCTTGTGACTAGGAAAGTTGTGTGGTATCTCATCTAGCTTTTTGGGCTCTATTGCTTCTCCTGGTACTACCAACAGATGCATTTCCTTCAAGAGAGAGGAAGTATATTTATTGGCAATTTAGGAACTAAGCAGTTTAGTTTGAGCTTTTCTGGGACTCTTAATATGGGTATCTTATGTACTGCCTTTTTTACTTGCATCTAAATGTAGTTAGAGGTGAAGTACCATCAGCCCTTGTGTATACTATTTACCACTGTCTTCCACAGCAGCCATCGTGGTTAGGTGTCGTGGCTCTCCACAGACACCTGAGGAAGCCTAGTTCATGCAAAAGAGAACCAAGAAGTTCATCCTGCACCAGTCAGACCATATGTCAAAAATAATTGGCAGAAACCAGAGGCATCAGTAACAGGGAATACTGGAGATTCAAGGAGCAGAACTTGATTCCCAGTGTTGGTTATGTGAGCAACAAGAAATCAAAGCACATGCTACCTAGAGGCTTCTGAAAGTTTCTGGTGTATAACATCAAGGAGCTCAAAGAGCTGCTGATAAGCATCAAGTCTTATTGTACTGAGATTACTCACGTGTCCTCCAGGTAATGCAAAGCCACTGTGGAGAGAACAGCATAGCTACCCTCCTCGTCATCAGTCCCAGTGCTAGGCTGAGCAGCAAAGAGAAGAATTAGCTAGCTCTTCTATGTGTTGTTAATAAAACTATAAAACTGGGGAAAAACAGTTAAAACTAAGATTTAGGTAGAACTAGTAAATCTAACCTCTAATATTATTTTGTACAATTACATACTTATATATTATTGTATTATAAAATTAATTTATTGGCATATTGAACATATTAATCCTTAGATAGTTTTCAAATATTTTTCTTAGATTTCTTTTTCTGTGCTAATTCAAATTTTAATATGCTAATTAAGCAAATGTAGGCATTTTTATTCTGATACAGTATTAATGCTTATTGCTGAAAGAGTAAAATATCTTATTTCTCATTACAGCAGAATGGCCAAAGACTATGACAGGTCTTCCCAGCACGTCAGGAACAACTGCCAGTGTGGTCATCATACGGGGCATGAAGATGTACGTAGCTCATGTGGGTGATTCAGGGGTAGTTCTTGGAATTCAAGATGATCCGAAGGATGATTTTGTCAGAGCCGTGGAGGTGACACAGGACCATAAGCCAGAACTTCCCAAGGAAAGACAACGAATCGAAGGACTTGGTGGGAGGTAATAGTTGTACTGTTTGCCTTTCTTTTTGTTGTTGTGTTTTTACTAGTTAGATTGACCTATTTCTCTCTTTCAATGAAATTACTTTCTTGGTATTAAACAGGTTTTTCATTTGCCTGATAAAGTACCATGGATGATCATACTTATGTCATTATTTTATTTCTGATAAGTCTCCAAAGGGATATCATTTTATTTTGTTTATTTTTTAAAAATAATTATCTGTCTATGCATACAAGACCTGGGGTACATGCCAGAGATGTGGGGGGGTGGTGAGAGGTTTCACCAGAGACAGAGCAGGGAGCAGATTGACCACTGGCAGATTGACCGCAGAGGGGAGCAGCGGGCGAGACAGGAGCGGTCTGTTGCGCCATGTGCAGTGGCTGCAGACAGCCTCATAGTGCTGTGCTCCGACCTGCTGCGCTGCCAGGGGGGGCTGGATATCATATTTTAGTAGAACTCAAGTTACAAAGCATACAAGGATTTATTGAAAGCCTTTTATGTAAATACTGGTCTGTATGTTTTTCAGAATTTGGACAGAGCAGCCCTTAGAATTCCAGAGTAGAACAGTATGAAATTGGCTTTGGGATGCAGTTTGCTAGAATTAGCTTTTAGTTTGTTTTCTGAATCATAATGTACTACAAATATTTTTCTCTCCTTTAATTTTGTCTGAAAGTATAGTTTGCAAAGTATGAACCAAAATTGACTTCAGCATAGCTTTTCATTATAAAAATTAAAATTTAAGATTGTTAAAGCCACAAATGAATAATGAGAAAATTTAAAAATTATCCTAGTACTTTCAAATTTGAGGCAAGTAAGATCTGGTGTCTTCTAAATAATCATTCTAAGGATTTTACTGAAATACTTTAATAGAAACACAACTTTCTTCTAGTACTTTCTCTGGTAAAGATAAATATGGAATGTCATTTATCTTATAAGGCAACATTGCTATTGTATAATGATTTTCTTTCTTAATTACACCTTGTCTGCATTGGGTAGATTTTTGAAAAAGGTATACATTTCTGTTGGGACCTCAGCTGCCCTTTGTACATGCTCTTTTGACATGTGCAGGGAGTTGTGGGATCTTAAAAGATACTGCTTACTGCGGCATATGAAGCACCCCTGAGCTGTCACTTGGGGTTGGGGCTAGAAAATCACTCGTGTCACTGTTGGGATCATGTCTGAGAACAGCATAACAGAAACTGTTTTCTGTCCTGTATGCTGCTAAGTTCAGTGATCCTGGTTTTATTTTGTAGTCTCTTTCTTTGATCCTTCCTATGAGTGTGGGATTTATTTGGGACCACTGCTGGTAGTCATGCAGAAGTGAGCTTTGCAGTTCCAAACTGAATTCTTTCATGAATTTGAGTCTCTCTGGAATTTATTTTTTTTACATTGTCTTGTTTCTGTACCAGTACCATAATTTGTTTTTAAGTGGCACTTTGTTATTATCTTCATTAAATTCTTTAAAAATATTTTTCTTGGCTATTCTTTATTTTCTATATGAATTTTTAAATCACATTTGATTGTAATAAATTTTTTAGAATTTGTGTTTTTTTTTTTGTCTTATCACTTAAAATACCATCTGGCTGTTGGGCAGATGCTCTTTGCCATTTGTGAGCAGATGTCTTTTTGCACAAATTGAACTGTTTTTATTTAAGTTATTTCCTCCTGTCCCTCTGTCTCACCCTAGGCAACTGTCCAGTGCTCTGTTTTTCCAGCCTTCTGTTCCTGCTCAGTCAGCTCTCTATCAGGCTGTTTCTGTGTGTATGCCTTTTAATCATGCAGGACAACAGCAGGGAGCACAAAAGAGGAGCATCTTTTATAACACTGTGTTGGTTTTTTGATACTATACCATTATTTTGTCTTCCCCAGAAATTCAGAAACAATAAATATCATTAAATATGAAATATTGTAGATATTTATATCATAGACTCATGAATATTAGAATTATATTGGAAGCAATTTGGATAGCTAGCTACTGTAATTACATAAGTATTAAAGCTTACTTACAGGGAGCAGGCTTAGGAAAAGAACAGTAAGACTTTAGGTAGTATGAAGGCAGAATGTTGTTGGTGTCTTATTTATGTATCTGTCAGGTAGAACTCAGATCAGGCAGGCTAATATTGAAATCTCTTTGCCACTTTTCTCTACCTTTTCTGGGCTTCCAGAGAAATCTTTCTATTGATTGCTTTTACAATTCAGACAGATTGTAACTAAGTTAATTTCAGTTTATCTTATCAGGTACAGGTTGAAACTATATTGTGTTTTGATAATTACTTCACCAAAGAATAGCCATATTTCCATATTTTAGGTGCTCTGAACATACTAGTTCTGCTATGTACTAATTGTAGATTTCTGTTGCTCCTATATCAAGCCTTTAGCCAGTTTTCTACCTATCCAACTTTCAGATGTGTGGTTGATCTATTTTCTAGTTATCTTGCTTGCTTCTTTGACATGTTTACATGCTTTTCTTCTCATTACTTCCATTCCCTTCTATCTAGCTCATTTGTAGTCTCTTCTCATCTTACTATTTTCTATTTTTTTTACTTTCCCTTTGTTTTTTTTGACTATTACAAAAGTTTATTTAACAAAAAAATTCAGTAGGAAAATGTACATAATCCAATTTTTTATATCATAGTAAAAAGGTGCTGTGGCGAAGGGGACATGTGGAAGAAACTGATTTCTCTGGCGAACACAGCCACTGCTTATACTCGTTCCAAGGCTTCTAACATGACGATACTATTTCCTTGTATTACCACCATGCCAGTATTGTTCTGTTGCCCACTAGTTGCCATCTGCACACACATTCATCTAGCACAAGATTCATAAAGGGATCAAATCCCCCTAGTATTCCTTGGACATGTCTGCCACCATTTAGTTTCAATGATAACTTTTTGTACATAAATTTTTCAACTTGGGGTGGTGAGCTTTTGCTCATGGTGTCTAGTTGCTGAGCTCAAAGATGGCTCCAGACAAAATTCCTGGCCTCCGTCCCACTTCTCCATAGGCCCCCTGTCTTGTTATTTTTCCTTTCTGAATAGAAAGTTTGTACCTGAAACAAATAAGGAATTATTATGTGATATTGTAGTCTTGTTTCATTAGTTATTTGACTCATTGAACTACCCTGCCTGATGTTATTTTAATAATTTAGAGTATTTGGGCCTTCCCTGTTGGTGCAGTGGGTTAAAGCACAGCACTGAGAAGCTAAAGCCACTTCAGCATGAGTTCGATTCCTGCCCTGGGGAGGTGACTCACATGGCGCAGCAGACCTCTCCTGACTCACCCGCTGCTGCCCTCAGCAGTGCACTTCATTGATCTGCCTGTTCTGCTCCCTGCTCTGTCTATGGTGAATCCTCTCACCACACCTGCGCCTCTGGCCTGTACCCCAGTTCTGTATGCATAAATAAATAAATCTTTAAAATAATAATAATTTAGAATATTTATGTGAACTCTATTTTTAGTGTGATGAACAAATCTGGAGTAAATCGTGTAGTTTGGAAACGACCTCGGCTCACTCACAATGGACCTGTTAGAAGAAGCACAGTTATTGACCAGATTCCCTTTTTGGCAGTAGCAAGAGCACTTGGTAAGTATGACTTAAATTTGTGAAATCATATTAATTTTTTTACAATATGATGGTAAAATAAAAGAGGGAACTGAGAATTAAATCCTTACGTGGAGTTTATATCATGGGGGTAGAAATCTGATTATATATCAAATACTTTAGAACCTAATTTAGGGCCTCTCTGGTGGCATAAGGGGTTAAGTCTCAGTACTATGAAGCTATTAACAGCCACTGCAGCAGGAGTTTGATTCCTTGCCAGGGAGCTGACCCACATGGCCCAGCAGACCTCTCCTGTCTCATCCACTGCTTCCCTCAGCAGTTTATTTCAGTCATTGTTTCTGATCTGCTCCCCACTCTTGTCAATTCTCTTACCTCCCCACTATGGCCTGCACCCCAGCTCTTGTATGCATAAAAAAATACATCTTTTAAAATAAATGAGACAAAAAAGTAAAATATAATAACAGTTGCTGGAAAGATCTGCCAGAACAGTGAAAGCTCCATGTTGGGGGAAAATTTAATGCAAAAATTTAATACTACAATTGTCTTATCAAAATTTCATAATCAAGGGCCCTTCCTGGTTGTACATTGTGTTAAGTCTCAGCACTCTGAAGGTATTTCCAGCCACTGCGGTGTGAGTTAGATTCTCAGCAAGGGAAGTGACCCACATGGCGTGGCAGACCTCTCTTGCTCCCCTCAGCAGGTGTTCCAGTGGATCTGCCTGTTCTGCTCCCCACTCTGTCTCTGGTGAATCCTCTTACCCCTGCACCTCTGCCTGTACTCCAGTTCTTGTATGCATAAATAAATAAATCTTTAAAAAAATTTGTACTCATTTTATACACTATTGAGTGAGTCTTTTGCTATAAAAAACATTTGGAAGAGATGAATTTGTTTCAATAATGAAAAAAATTGTTTCTATTTTTCATATTGATTTTACTTATCACATGTTATCTCTAAAAATAATCATCTTTAGATTTGAACTCCAAATAAAAGTTGCTACATCTCATTACTTTTTTAATCCTTATTCTGGCACTTGGACAAAATTTTTTAAAGAATTATGACTGCAATTTTCTTTTTAAAGCTTGTTGGTCCATAGTAAATTAAATACTATTTATTTTTAAAGCATACATGTTGGCCCATAGTAAATTAAATACTATTTAGCACTTAGTTTTCTTCCACTTTTTTTCTGGGAAGAAGTGTCTTTATGAAAATTGGTGCTGTCTGGACAAATGTTGCAAAGGTGCCTTCTGGTGGCTCTCTGAGGAATTGCAGGAGTCTTGCAAATCATTTATTGAACAGATTATTACTGAGTGCACAGTGGATCAAGCACAAAGGCATTCATCAAATTATCACAAGAAGAACTAAAAAATGGCAACTCTTTTAAGTTCTTTTTATCTACTAAGGAGAAGTTAAAATAGGTTGTACTACCTCACTAGAGAAGGCAAAATAGAGACATCTGAGCTGAGGCCTGAATTACTAGAAATTGAGAGGAAGGGAGTGTGTTTTAGGCATAGGAACTATATTTGCAAATAGCAAATACAATTTGGAGGAAGTATGGTGGATATAAGAAACTCTGATCATGGCCCTTGTGAAGAGGGGGAGTAAATATTGCAGGTGGAATGGGAAACATAACTAGGTGTGTGTGTGTGTGATATATATAATATATATATTTACATCATTTTGTGCCTTTTTCCATCTCACTTGTAATCCCGTGGGCTTCCCATCACCAAATCACCTGTGTGCCATCAGCATAGTCCAGTGCACTTCTCTCCCCTGTGTGTGAATTTTAACTTATAACAAAATGCATTTAACAAAATATGTTTTCTTAATCATTGTAAATAGTAGTAAGTTCATTTATATTGTTGTACAACCATCGCCAGCCTCCATCTTAAAGTTGTGCTTCAAAGAGATGCAGTTTGAGTTGCAGTTTTGAGAATGGGTTAGGTGAGGCAAATGGATGCTCGGAAGCTCACCATGAGGAACCACCCACACAGTAGGGGGTGGGTGGTGGTGGCAGCCATGGGGTAAGAACTGCTGAGTGTCCTGGACACGCTGGTTCCTTTGTGCAATAGGGGCAACCAGAGAACATAATTTCACATGGTGCAGCAAATAAAACCAGCTTTATCTATAAATGGCAAAGTTGTCTATATAGAAAACCCTGAAGAATCCTCAAAAGCTACTAGAATTAGTAAATGAATTCAGAAAGGTCACAAGATCCATATTCAATATACATAGTCATGCCTATTTTTATGTACTAGGAATCAGCAATTTTAAATTTAAGTAAGTATTGTTTATAACTGCACCAAGACTATGAATATACTTAGGTATAATTGTAATATAATATGTTTGAGGCTTGTATGCTGAAAATTATAAAATATTGATTAAAGAAATAAAAGAGCTAAAGAAATATACCTTGTTCTTGGATTGGAATATAAAATATTGTTAAAATAGCATTTCTTTCTGAACTGATCTATAGGTTCGATGCAATTCAAGTCAGGAAAGAGGAAAACCATTCTTCTGGAAATGTATGAGTTTCAATGAAAAAAAAAAAGAGATCAGCAAGATATTGGCACTAGTTATTTGGGATTGTTAACAAAAGAATAATTGAAAGCATGTTAGCATGAGCTCACCAAAGGAGTGTACATTTGTGCATAGATCTCTCTAGAAGGATATGTAAAAACAATAGTTGTTCCCTAGGTGAAGAGCTGAGAATGGAGTTCTTGACATTTACCTTTTGTACCATGTGAATGTATAACCTATTCATATAAATAAGTAGCTTATTTTAAAACGTTTTTGAATTTATTAAGATATTGTTAGTGTATACATGAGAAATTCTGACCTTTTAAAGTCGTCATATAGTTTGCTTTAGATTTTAAATTTAGACATATTAGGAATTCTGCTTTATATAAAATTATGTTCTTGAAATGGTAATATTAATCTTGAATAATGAGGAAAAACTGCTTTTGGAAGCTTTTAGCATAATTTATAAGCTTTAATTGCTACCTTATTATTTACACTAATTGTTTCCAAGTTCATTTTTATTTCATCAGCCAAGGAGCTTTGTTTTGCTGGTATAGAGAGATAAATGTGTCTTTGTGAGCCAACCTGGTTTATAATTAGCTTTTAGTGGTCTCATGTAGTCACTTCTGCTATTCTGAAGGATAAATTGCTCCTTCAAGAGGCTGGTGTAGCAGTAGATTTTGCTATTTTAGAGTGGAGTAATTGATGTGAATTATTCTTTCTTGGACTTTAAGCATGTTTGAATTGGCCACTTTTCTGGTGGGAGATATAATGGGGAAGTTCAGATAAGGAAAGGATAAAACAAAAGGTCTTCCTCATATGTAACACAGTGCAGACCTGCTGAGGAGGTGTAAAAACTAGCTGTGCTCTTTTGTGAAAATATTTTTTTATTTCAGGTCTTCAGTAAATTTCACAACAAAATAAAAGAAACAGAAATTAATATTTCATTCTGTCTCCTCCTTTCTCAGTTTTTGGGAGCAAAAGAAGATACTTTTTCAGTAATTTTGTCTTGTATTGTAGAAAAGTAGATGGTTTCTATAATTTTTTTTCTATTTCACTTTTATTGATTTTCTTGATAGCTAGAGTTAATCAGAAGTTCTTTTCTATTGAACATTTTGAGATTTACATCTCACAGGCTTAACCTCTCTTGCCTGCTGCTCCCCTCAGCAGTGTGTTTCAGTAGATTTGCCTGTTCTGTTCCCCACTCTGTCTCTAGTGAATCCTCTCTTTCCTCCCACTCCCACCTCTGACCTATACCCCAGCTTTTGTATGCGTAAATAAATAAAATTTAAAAAACAAAGTAGGTCTCAAAGACACAAGAGTTAGGCATGTGAGCTAATCAAGGATAGCTAGTTGTGTAACAACTTTATTTTTCCTAACTCACTGAAAGGTTGAACTATTGATCATATATATAGGTTAGGAACATGAAAATACTCATTTACTGACCATATATATAGGTTAGGAACATGAAAATACTCATTTTTATTTCTAGAATTTTCTTGCAAGTGGCTGGCATTCTGTAAGTTTTAATATAGGTACTTTCTTGATCCTAGGGATTAAGGGAAGATTTTCAGTTAGCTACTAAGACTCCTGTTTGTAGAGCAGTTTCTCTCCAACTTACATTTTTTCCATAAACACTTTGGTTATCTTGGACTTTTACTCTTTCCTATACATTTTAGAATTACTTGTCATATTCTAAAAAAATCCGTTTTGGATTTTGTGGAATTACATTAGTTGCATAGGTTATTTTTAGAAATTTAACATCTTTAAAATATTGAATTGCCTTTCTCTGAATCCAGTTTATTTCTCCATTCATTTAGATAGTCTTATTTATGTATCCAAGAACTGGGGATAGACCAGAGGTGTGCGGGGGATGGTGAGAGGATTCACCAGAGACAGAGTGGGTGTTGAACAGGCAGACTGATTGAAGTACACTGCTGAGGGGAGCATCTGGTGAGACAGCAGAGGTCTGCTGTGCCTTGTGGGTCAGATACCTGCGCAGGGATCTAACTCCTGCTTCAGTGGCTGCTGATAGCTTCATTCCGCTGAGACTTAACCCCTTGTGTGACCAGGGAGGCGCTGTTTGGTTTTTATTTTAACAGCCATGCTAAACATTACTATTCTGATCATTTAAATGTATATATTTTTTGCTTTTTGTATAGAAATAGTTTTCAAATGATCATAACTTCATTTTCTCAATTTGAACTCACATACCTGATTTATTCTTACTGTCTTAACTATGCTGTTGATAATAGAAGGCTTTTATCAGCTTAAGGGACTTAGCTTTTTTTTTTTTTTTAAGATTTTATTTATGCATACAGAAATGGGGTTAAAGCCAGAGGTGCAGGGGCAGCAAGAAGACTCACCAGAAACAGAGTGGGGAGCAGAATAGGCAGATCAACAAAAGTACACTGCTGAGGGGAGCAGCAGGTAAGACAGGAGAGGTCTGCTCACCATGTAGATCACCTGAGAGGGGATTGAACTCACACTGGAGTGACCATGCCTTGGCTTAGCTTTGTAGTGCAGCACTCCAGCCTGCTGTGCCAGCAGAGAGGGCCTTTAAAAAAAAAAAAATTAAAGAGCAGGTTTATCAGGGAAAGGGGACAGAAAAGTAAAAGACACACATAGACACAAGTGGGCAGGCAGAGCTGCCTGGAAGGGGACAGGCTTGCTGAGAGAGGCCTGCATGGTTGCAGGCTGGTGGCCTTGAGGAGAGCTGCCTCCACTGCGGGAAGTCAGGAAAGAGAAGCCCCAGCATGGTACAGGTCACTGATAGGAAGGAGGCTGCTGCCCTGTGGAGAGAGAGAACTGGTGAAAAGAAGCACCTGCATAGGCACAGGTGGGCAGAAGTACTGGTGTGAGGGGACTTAGTTTTTAATTCTAGCTTGGTAGAAAGTTTTAAAATCATGAATAAATTTTGAGTGTTACCAGATGCTTTTCTGCATCTCTGAAAATATAAATATTTATTGATGTATGCTTCCATCTTGGAATTAATACTGTGTTTTCCTGCTGCCTGCCCTTTAGGTGATTTGTGGAGCTATGATTTCTTCAGTGGTGAATTTGTTGTGTCACCTGAGCCAGATACAAGTGTGCACACACTTGACCCCCAGAAGCACAAGTATATTATATTGGGGAGTGATGGACTTTGGAATATGATTCCACCTCAAGATGCCATCTCTATGTGTCAGGACCAAGAGGAGAAAAAGTACTTGATGGTAAGAATGCTAATTTTACATTATTGTCTAAACATTGTTCTGGTACTTCTGGCAGCGGTCTTGAATGTGAATTCAGGATGTTCATCTTGAGTAGAGTTTTGCATTTGCCTGCCTTTAGAAGTAGACAAAAGATAGATTGTATAGCTTATTAGGAAATGAAATAGGAAATAAGTAAATGAAACTAGATAACAAAACATGTAACCACTGGCTTCATTATGAATAGTACTTGACTTACTTACCAATGAAGCCTTGCCAATCCCTTTTTTTAAAAATTGAGATGTAATTTATATACCATAAAACTTAACCTTTTTTT